TTGAACGTGCCGAACGATAAATCGCCCTCCCGTGCCTTCTTCTTCGCGGTCGCCTTCACGCCCGCTGCGATCTCCTGTCGCTCTCGGTCCGCCTCGCGCTGGGGGGGTGTTTTCTTCCGTTTAATCCGAGCGGCGAGTTTCTTCGCATCGATCCATCTTTGCAGGGCTCGGTGCTTGCCTGTGGTGTTTGGACGAGGAGGGTGCAGCACTCCCCCCCCGCGTCGCCCGCGGTTATCTCCCTTCTCCCGCGAACGGTGCTTACTCGCGTGGTTTTTACGAATCTCTCTGCTCCTCCAGCTTCGTGGGCCACGTTTTCCGCGACGGTGGTTACCAGGTGAAGTTTGCCGCTTTGCATTGCTGCCGCGGGGACAAGGTCCACATACACCTCTCGCCACTACCACCGTCTGTGCATCCTCACCGCCACGCTGAGCCAGCGCGGCGGTGAGTTGCACCTTGGGACACCACCCACCTACTATCTGTTGTGGCCTGGTTCGCCCGCGAGGGACTCACAAGGTCGATTTCGGCCCCGGCCGGGGAGCAGGCCGGGGAGGGGACGTGTAGCGTGTTCCTCTAGATATGCTACATAAGTATAATGACATACCTTCCCTTTTGGAGTCACAATAAGAAATGCGTTCATTATTGTGGCGTCAGATGCAGGGCGAAGAGCGGGTGTGAGGGTGTGTGTGGGGGGGGAGAGGCTACAGCGACCAATAATGGAAATCCCTTGTGAGGCGTGCTGGATGGTCTGAGCGGGAATATGCGTGCTACTTTGTCTGCTTACGATGTCCTTTCCGGCACCCACTACCACTACTGTCTACCTACCCGTGACCACTTCGTAAATCCGCAATGTTACTGCACTCATTCGTCACTTTGTCACTCTGTTCGCCTAGAATCAGCTTTAAAATAACACGCACAACACAGCGTAGTAATTTTGTGCTTGCACGAGAACAGTCATGCGCGTTTCTCGTGGGTTCGGTCACCGTTGTGAAAACACGACGGAAGGCGGACTTGTGGTGGGAAAGAAAGAGCGTCGGCGCACTCCATGTTGATAGATGAGACGGCGTAAATGAAGCAGGCTAGGGAGGGCATCGCAATCAGAAATCGTAAATCGGGTGGGAACTGATCGTCTCTCACCTTCGGTCCACATGGTGACGTCGCCTCGTTCGGGGACCGTGGGGCGAGAGTGTCGTGGGTTTCACTTTACGCGTCATCCCTGGGGGAGTGCAAAAGTCCTGTGGGATCACGGACGGATGCATGGGTGGGGAGAGGGTGCATCATCGTGTGATTGTGTGTGTGACTGGGTGCGAGACAATAGATTCACGTTCAGCATGGACGACCTGAAAATCTCAAGGAAAACGTGTCTTATCACACCACGCTGATGGTCGTACATCGTCGTCTGAGCCCAGTCCGAAGCTGTCCAGGGCGGTGTCCCTCTTCCTCTTGGGCTCCCTGGGTGGAGTGCGGGGATTGCTCGAGGTGGCCATGGCTGTCTCTTCTGTTCGTGTGTCTGGATACGAGCATGGTAGATCTGCTAGCAGCACGGGGGG